TGCAACGCACGCAGCGACGGAGCTACGGCCCACCCGCGCGAACAGCGCGCTCTAGTCTGTCCGTCGTTCCGTCTCTCCGTCTGTCCACCAAGTCGTCGGTTCAATCCACCGCGATTTCTTTTATGTTTTTTTCGCTGCGACGTTTCTTGTTTTATTTAGTTTTTTTTTTCGTTGCTCGCATTTATATTGTTTTAATCGCATTTCACGGCTCGACGGCATTTCACGCCTCTGCGCGGCTCAACATCTCTCCTTCCCCGATTCCCCGGACGCCTCTGCACATCTTGCCTCGCTGCTCCGCCAATGGACGTTGCTCGCGTTTATATTGTTTGGATCGCATTTCACGGCTTGACGGCGTTTCACGCCTCTGCGCGGCTCAACACCTCTCCTTCCCCGATTCCCCGGACGCCTCTGCACAGCTTGCCTCGCTGCTCCGCCAATGGACGTTGCTCGCATTTATATTGTTTGAATCAGAATCGCGCATTTCACGGCTTGACGGCGCTTGGCTTTGCTCTCTTGTTGAGTATGCACGCTTAGCTGCGCGTGTCCGACTTTCTTTGTGTGCACGTCTCCGCGTGGGCGTCTGTTGCAGCATCGACTTTGCTTTTCATCCGGCCCCCGGCTGGACCATGCGCGTTTTATGCTCCGGCTGCTGCGTCCTTTTGCGTCGGCTTTTGTGTTCTCGGATTCTGCGTGCGGATGGAATGTGTTGGATCGATAACCTTCCTGCGACTTTTGGCTTTGCGATCGTCTTTGCGATCCTAGCTGCCATAACATTTATCCGCTGTTTTGGGCTTTTCGCAGTGCGTATTCTTGTGCGTCCAACTCCCCGCTTTGAGCTTCGCGTGATGAATCTTGCGTGTTGGGCTCGTTCTGCGCTTTCGGCTCTGTGCGTTCGACTTTCCGTACTCAGCCGTTATCGCACTAAAACTTGATTCGACGCAACCGACTGTAACCGTCGCGGTCCGGCTTTGCGGCCTAACAAGGTATAGGCTTTATGAGCTTCGCTTTTTCCGTCCTCAACTACGCGTCTTCGTGGGAGTCGTAGCCGCCGTGGTACAAACGAATGTATTTCGCGAATGTTAGCCCAAGGCCGGTGACGTCTGGCGAATGAAAACCGACTTATGAGAACAAGGTTGCATCACGTCAAGGTTGCGCCTGCGAACGTTCGCTATAGGAGGTATAAAATCCGGGGCTGCCTGTAATATATAGCTAGAGCCTCGCATGTCATATAGCAACCACGATTCCTGCGCACTGGACCTTGTACGCTTCTCTCAGCAACATGGCACCCAAGTGAGTAGTCCATCGCTGCGTTAGCTGTTTATTATGGCAACCTTTATTACTCGCTATTCGCTGCGCCGCAGGCGTTGTGCCACTATAGATCCGTCGTCTGCGCCGCCAGCGAAACAGGCGCACCAGGAAACAACCGCGCCAGGAAGCACGCCTGAAACAACCACCGCGAGCTCGGCATCGACTGCAACACCGACTAGCCCTGCTTCGTGCAGCGCTCCCGCTTCAAGGTATGGTTCGGACGTTGTGACCAAGCGGCCCGCTAGCTGTGTTTCGTCTTGCGTTTGCGCTTACGGTTGCGACTGTGTCTTGCATATGCAACCTACGATTTAGTTTTGTTCGTTGTCGGCTACATACGTGGAGGACGCGGACAATTTTGTTGTGCGTGACATGCTGTGCACTCCTTCGGGGTTGTCTTACAATTGTTGGACGTTTTAAATCGTGTTAGAAAACGCGTGTCGTTCAACTTATAGCGTTCAGCGCCAGTACTTTCACTGTAGTCCCTCTGCTCAACCCGTCAATATAACCGTCAATATAACCCGTCAATATAACCGTCAATATAATCCGTCAATATACCGCCTTCTATACATGAGCAGTCCAGCTATTACTTCGACCTTGCTCTGCTATAATATCTAAAAGAAGTACATAAGCAGTCCAGCTATTATTTGGGCCTTGCTCTGTTGTATTAGCTACATGGTCAGATTGGTCCGTGCTCTCGCCGGTTTGGCCGGATTGGTCGGCGTAGGATGTCTTATACGTTTTGAGTTCCATACCTTTGCTGCTGCCGATTTTCACTCCTACAGTTGACTGCCGACGCTTGCGGTTTGTGCGCGTGCCCGCGTTTCATTGCGTTTTCGACACATCCAGCACGCGATATTCCGTTCAGCTGCTTAGCCGTGCCCACATAGATGCACGTTATATTCCAACGTAAAGTAATCTTTCTGCTTCGACACCCGCGCTCCAAACAAACGTGCGACCCGGTATTAAACCTGCACTTTACCCGTGTCGGCTACATGCTCGCTGTGCTATCATTTCATCACCGATCCGACGTACAGCCCCGCCAGCACCTCGGTAAGCTTCCAGCTTACCTTTACAGCGGGGCCCGCGCAAGTCGGTACCGACCGCCTGTGGAGCGGCCTGCGCTGCAATACTGCGACCATCGTGGGTGGCCCGGCGACGAACGGGCTTGTGCTCCTTCAGATTGACAGCGCCGTACTGGCTAGCATTCAGACAAACAAGTGGTATGGAGTCGTAGTTGAGGTTACGCACGTCCAGTCGGCTATTTTACCGGCTGGTGTCGTAAATCGCTTCGCGGGGGTTTTGGTGAATACTTTCAAAACCACTGCCAGGAGCGAGGTTAGATCCAGTCAGGCCAGGCGTGTATGGAGTATCCTTACGGCCCGCTTGCGTTTGCCGGCCCTTAATCCGTATGTGAAACCGTCTGTAAATGAGGGCAGCTATCCTACTGACGGCAGCGCACTCCTTGTCTTGCCGTTTGGGGAGCCATTCACCAGCGGGCCGTACCGAAAGATCAGTGCCTATCTAGCTTGTAACGACATGAATGACATACGAGTTGGGGAGATTGAGCTCGCGTATGATCCCAGCACCCCGTCCGCCTATTGTCAGCTCGTCAGCGACGCCGGCAGCCTGAGCATTCCACTTTATCTGTTCGGTGCGAAAGTAAGCGGCACAAACTCTCAGTACAGCCCGACCGTGTGGATAAACGGCACACTTACTGCTGCGGCACTTCGACCCGGCCAAGATATGCGTACTTTCCCTGCTCATGTACGTGCATTTATCAGTGCAACGCAGCAGCATGCACGGCAATCAGTCGAGACTGACAACATGTTGCTGGCCTGGGAGCAGCGCGAATGGCCTGGGAGCGTCACGACCTTGCCGCAGGACGGCACGCATGCCCGTGCCGTCCTGTCTCCCAATCCCAGCGTTAGCAGCATTGTCAACGACCGCAGAGTGCTTCCGCTTATAATGACGGTCAGCCAGCGACAGTACCCCGTGTGCAGCGACAGCCCGGAAGTGTTGCGCCAGCTTCCTGGTTTCGATACCTTCTTCGCGGACTTGCCGTACGATGATGCTGAAATCCGAGCCGCGTTTTGCGCGTCGCGGCCGTTCAGCATCGTCGGCGCAGCTACTACTACTACCATTGGGCGCACCACTTTCGTAACCGCTTTTCAGCAATAGCTGCAACGCATATAGTGCCTACACTGCGGGACCGACCTTGCTATTTGCGAGCTGTGCGGATGGTGTGGATTATGCATGCCTGGACTTAGTTTTTTTTTTTACATGCGTGTACACGTACAGTTGGCGCCATTTGGTTTGGATATTCCTCTTTGAGCGTTGCTTTATTGGTTTCTGTTTGGCTTGCTGCCACGGGGCTTGCTGCCGATGCCTAGCTTTGTAGTTGCCGTGCCTCGTTTTGTACGATTGCGGTTGCATTACAATAGAATCGCGGTGCACTCTTGCTTGTTTGCTATCCTCTGCTTTCGTTGTGAGATTTAGAGCTTTTGCGCCTCGTCTTATACGCTGACGTTGAAACCGACAATCTGCTCGTTACGCCGTTAATTGTTGCATTGCCTTGCGTTGGCCTGCACGTCATAATTCCTTCTGTACGTTGAGATGCAGCGTCTTATTTTGAACGTCTACTTCTGTGCGGTCGATTCGGTGACTTGACGCACCGCCTCCTGTGCTTGTTGTTTCTTCCTCGTTTACCTGTGCGTCATACTTGGTTTTGTACGTTTGAGTGGTGTGTCCTGCTTTGTGCGTCTGCATTTGTATGCCCGATTGGGCGAGTGGGTGAGTCGACGTGCTCGTTCTTAGTTTTACAGCTTCTACGTTTCGTGTTGTACAGCTGATTGTTGTGTTGCAGCTTACGTGCATGCTTCTCTTTAAGTGAATGCTGGGAATTATTTAGTCCTGTAACCCCGGTATGCGGATGTGGCGTCGCATGCGCTCTCATCCGAATACCGGGGTTACAGGCGTCAAAATTGGTATGCCGCGCCAATTTTGACGACACGCTCGATCGGCATACAGCCGTCCTGGCTGCTGGGTTCGACTCCCACACGAGCGTAGCAACGTTGCTGTCGCCGCCTGTACCTACGGTTTTTGCTTTGTGCGCGCCTCCAACTTTGCGCATCTCCAGTTTTGTGCACCGGGCGCAGATTTATTTATGCTATCCGATTTACCTAACCAAGCTCGACTCCTCTTTGTGCGCCTCTCCAAAATTGTGCACATCGAGGTTTGCGCGGTGCTGGGCCTTGTGCGTTTGTTTCTGTTTCGGCCCCAACTTTGCATCTCCAATGCCTCCGCCTCGAATTTTGCATTTTGTACTCCTATTTATAACGTGTTCGCACTAGAACGTAAATCACAAAAACTCTCTACCGATTACAGCTGTTACCAGCCGCCGCCTTGCACTTTGCACGCATGGCAGTTTGCACCGGGCCTTATGTGTGGAGTTGTGTTGTGGCCCCGGCTTTATACCCTATACTTTGCGTGTTCACCTCTGCGTATCTCTTCCAACAGCAACAACCTGTCCGCTCTAGAATTCACGCGCTGAATCTTCTTCTGCAACCAGCTTCGCACGTTAAATATACTCTTTGCATCTTCCTCTCCTCCGCGTCAAACTTCCCGCATTCAGTTTTGCGCGTCTACCATTCCGCATATTAACGTTTTCCCGCTTCATTTCCACTCTCGACTGAGCGCAACTGTGCTCGGCCTTGTGCCTTTCCGATTTTCGCTTTATGCGCGCCTCCAACTTTGCGCATTTCCAGTTTTGCGCACCGGCCCAAACTTTGCATATCCAATTCCTCCGCCTCGAATCTT